ACTGGCTGCCTGTTGATCACCGAGTACAATTCAAGGGGCTATTTATCACCTACAAAACCCCTCATGGTATTTGACCTGGGTACTTGAGAGACCCCCTACTGCCAATTACCTCCACTAGACCGATACGATCGCATAGATTAGGCCTCCGAATTCCATCATCCAGCCAGTGTAGACTGGCAACTACCCGGAGAAGGGCCTTCTCGGTGGCTGCTCCGACCCTCTGTAACGAACTCCCCGTGGAGATTCGGACCCTCACCACCCTCCAGGCCTTCTGCGCCGCTGTCTGGCTGTCCCAGCTGGCCTGGGGTTAAGACCCTAACCCCACTCGAATTGTGTGACTGTTGTGTTTTTAAATGATGTAGTGTCTTTATGTTGTAAAATGTTTGTCCTCCCCCCCCCCCTTTTTGAACTGTGAGCCGCCCTGAGTCCCCCCAGGGAAAAGGGCGGCATACAAATAAAGGGAAAATGAACATGAAATGAATGGTGGTGGGAGTCTGGGGTGGCCTCCCTGCCCAACAGGCCTGGGGCTGCACCAGGCCCACTCACTGGTCAGGTTCAAGGTCCCATTCTGAGCTGGCCTTGTCCCAGGTCTGCTTTTGGAATGGGGCAGCAGGGAGCGATTGTGCCCCAGAGCTGGCAGTAGCACCCACCCCCTTCATCACAGAGGGACCCAGCCTAGTTGTGCTCCCCCCCCTCTGCTTCAAGGTGGGGCAGAGAGTCGGAGAGTCAGAGAGACACCTCAACGCAGCTGGGTGCTTCCTGGCTCCAGCCTGGCCTTGTGGTCCTGGCTTGTTTTGCAGAGTGGCAAACGAACCTGAGTGATGAATCAGCCCCTCTGAGGCTGCAGGAGGCCAGGAACCGCAGAGGGGGCCTCAAAGCAGCAAGGAAGAGGGGAGGAGGCTGGGGGGGGGCAAGGAAGGTCAAGGCCTGCCCTGAACTCCTGGCACCCCTTCCTCAACTCTGGGCCTGCTGGGCCTGGAGTGGATAAAAATCCATGGTTGTTTTTTTTAAAATATCAAAAAAGTTGGATTTTTAAATTTAAATCGGATTTTATTAGATTTATTTTAATAAAATGCTTTTGGAGTAAAAATCTATCTATAGTTTTCTATTTAAGATACATTAATAATTTCATTTATTCAGCATGAAATGGAGCTTAGGGATGTGGCGTGAGGAGGCTGCATATGCTGCAATGTTTTTACATTTTCGGCCAATTCTACAAGCTAAATAGGAAACCTTCATTTTGTTTGCAAATAATCACAGGAAAGAGTTTAACTACCAGCAAGAACGAGAACTTACATTTAAAGAGCGCCTGTCATTTCAGAGCCACCCTGGCAGCCCCTGTTGGTGGGCATCCACTCACCTGCTGCCCGCCACGTCCCTCACCTTGTGGTGCCCCTGCCGCACCTCCACCCCCCCCCCCAATTGAAGTGAACGGGACGGCCGGAGAGTCCCCAGAGGGTCAGAGGAGGAGGAGGAGGAGCTGCTGCGGGACAGAGATGACTCTTTAAAAGCCACGATTTGAATCGAATGGGTTTAAGTCAAGCCTTTTTACTAGCGATTTCAATCGACTTGATTTAAATCAAATCCACCCTGCCTGGAGCTACTCTCTGCTCACCACCTGCACGAGACGCAGCAAAGGAGGGAATCCAGGCTGACCTTCCCTGCCTGGTGGGGAAACTGAGGCAGCTCAGATCAGGGACCTGCCAGGAAGGGGGGGGGGCTTCGTAACCTGCATTTTTATGCCAACAGCAGCTGATCTCAGCCTCCCCGAGACTCTGGGGGGGGAAGGAGGCCCTTCCTTCAGTGGCCCCCATGCCTAAGCCGTCCCCTTTGGGAGCTGATGCCACCCCTGGCCTTCCAATGTTCCCAGGCGACACGGGGTCCCAACTGAAAGGAAGCAATCCGATGCCAGGAGGAGGGTCCCCCAAGACCCTTCTTCGCAGTCCCTGGACCTCCAGGCCCCCCATCCCTCCCTCCCTCGGGGAAACAGCATCGTGTCCTCTGCTCTCCTCAAATAGGCAGCCCACAGTCCCAGCAGAAGCAAAGTTTTGAGAGAAAATGCACAATCATGAAAACCTCCCCAGCCCCCTTCCTCCTCTCCCCCCCCAACCCCAAAGGAAACAACCCCCCACCCACTTTGTGCAGACAATGTTTGTCGTGTGTTCCCAAATATTAAAACTGCAGCCACAGGCAGAAGGACGGCCCCTCCCTGTTCTAAAGTAACCACTCACCCCAAGGGGGGGGGATGTTCCTGGAGGGGGGCCAGGCCCACTTAGCCCCTTCTGTCCCCCTTTAAAAGCTGCAGAGCCCCCCCTCTTAGGTTTGGCCCAGCAACTGCTTCAGGGAGAAGGGGGCTTGCAGGACCCCTCCCCTTCAGGGGTCTCCCTACTCCCCCCTCGAGGCAGAATGGCTTGCAGCCCCCCCCCGCCCCTCCCCCGTCCTTGGAGGCAGGGTGAGGCAAGGGCTCTTCCGGGCAGCCTTGTGCAACCTGGATGAAGCAAGGCTCCGGCTGAGCCAGCCCCCTCGGGCACGGAAGGGACCCTCGCCGGGGGCTCCTAATAAGGCAACCGATAATAAGGGGGAAGCGGAAGCTGTGGGGGGAGGGGACGGGCAGGGCTGCAGACAGAGCTCCGAGGAGCCCCCGGACCCTCCTGCGCCCCTTTCGGCCCCAGTGGCTTCCCCTTGCCGGGAGGGGCGGGGGAGGAACCCCAACTGAGAGGGGGGAGGGAGGGGGAGGATGGGGCGCAGGGTGGGGGGAAAAGAGGGGGGCAGCATAGAAGTCGGCGCCTGCCTGGCAGGGGGGAGTCAGCGGAGCCCCTCCCGCAATGCCCCCCTCCCCCAGGTGGGCGTCCAGGGGGGCTCAGAGAGGGGAGGCAGGTGGGGGGGGGGTCCTGGGAAGACCCTGCAGCGACCCTTCCCCAAGCAGAGCCCGCCCCCAGCTCCCCCACCGGCCCTGCGGCTGCAACCGGCGCCCCCGCCCCAGACCCCCTCCCCCCCGCTCAGCCGGAGCCCCCTCCCCTCCCCTCCCCCCGACGGCACCCACCGCCGCTCCCTCCCGGAGGAGCCTCTGCAAGAGCAGCCGGGAGCGGAAGGCGGCCCCGCCCTCGGGCCCCGCCCCCTCCCCTCCTCCGCGGGGGACGCACGCGCGGAAAGGCCGGCGACGCTTCCGCGGAAGCCGACGAAAAGTAGAGCCGAGTAGAAGCGCAACGCGTCACGTGCCCTACAAAAGTAGTTCCGGCGGCAGCGTCGTCCCTGGCGGTGGAGGTCCAGGGCGCCGAACCCCTCCGCCGGGCGAGAGAAGCGGTCATGGCGTCTTCGCCGGTGCCGGAACGGAAAGCGGAGCCGCCGACGGAGCGCCCGGAGCCCCTCGGCGGCGCGGCGGCAGGTGAGGCGGGGGCGGCGCAGGGCCGGCGGGCGTCCGCGGGGGCTCCGGGCCGGCGGAGGGGCGAGGAGCGCTGGGCAAGATGGCGGAGGGGGAGCGGGGCGCAGGCAGCGCCAGGGGCAGCCCGGACCCCTCAGGCCCCGCCAGGCTGCCAGGGAGGGAGGGGGAGGGAGGGAGGAGCGCGGGGGTCCCAGGCCACGCCCCTCGCGCGCCCCCCGCAGCCCCCCCGCCCCGCTCCCCCCCCACTTCCCCCCCCCGCAGCAGCAGCAGCAGCAGAGGACGCTGCCCCGCAGAGCGACGGAGGAGACGCCGAGGCCGGAGGGAGGAGGGAGGAGGAGGAGGAGGATGGGGGGCCGCCCCCCGAGGAGCCCCCCCCGGGTGAGCCGCTGCCCCCTCCCCTTCCTCCAACCCAGGGCGGGGGGGGGGGGCGTCTGGGGGGGTCTCGGGGGGGACTGACGGCGCTTCCTCCCCTCTGTGCGGCAGGATGCGGGTGGGGGGCGTCGGCCGAGGAGCTGGTGGAGGTGGTGGTGGTGCAGCGCTTCCAGTGCCGGCGGTGCCCCTTCCGCAGCGCCGCCCGACAGACGCTCCTGCGCCACGTCCAGCGGAGGCACCTGCAGCCAGGTGGGTGGGGAGGGGCTCTGGGAGTGGGGGGGGAAGGGAGGGGTTTTTAGGGTGGGTGGAGGAAGGGAGGGGGTCTTGGAGTGGGGAGGAGGGAGGAAGGGAGGGAGGAGGTCAGAGTGGGGGGGGAGGAAGGGTCTTGGGGGGAGGGGTCTTGGGGTGGGGGAAGGAGGGGTCTTGGGGGAGGGGGTCTTGGAGTGGGGAGGAGGGAGGAAGGGAGGGAGGGGGTCAGGGTGGGGGGGAGGAAGGGTCTTGGGGGGAGGGGTCATGGGGGGGCAGGAGGCCTGCAGTCCCTGGACTTTTAGGGGGCAGAGAGGTGGAGGTCAGGCCCCACTGGCGGCTGAGGGTCTCTTCTGGCTGCAGGGGCCTCCCCAGGGCCGAAGAGGGGCCGGCCACGCAAGGGGGCTTTGGTGCCAGAGGCCCAGAAGGAGGAGGAGGAGGAGGAAGCGGAGCAACAGGAGGAGGATGACATCGTGGATGCCGGTGCCATCGATGACCCGGAAGGTAAGAGGGTGGTGGGAGGCAACGAGGCCCCCTCCCCTCCTTTATGCTGCTGCTGCTGCTGGGGGTCCCCAACACACACAGACCCCTCTGCCCCTCCCTCTGCAGTGGACAGCGACTACAACCCAGCGGAGGATGAGCCCCGAGGACGGCCGCCCAGGATCAGCCGCCCGCTGCCTCCCTCCCCCAAGCAGGGGCTGCGGCGGCGGCCAGGGAGGCCCCGGAAGTTCCCCCGCCTGGAAGGGCCCCCTCAGCCGGCGGGTAAGGAGGAGGGGTGGGGGGAAGGTATGATGGGCAAGGGGCAAAGACGCTCGTGGGCTCCCAGCACCGGGTGAGGCTCTGGGGCACTTTTGGGGCTTCTGGCCCATCTCCCTTGGGCTGCCCTCCATCCCGGAGGCTCTGCAGGGCCGGAGCCCCAGGGCCCCTCCTGAGTGTGGCCCCTGCAGGGAGGAGAAGCAGGGAGGGTCTGGGAAGGAAGAGCCTCTGCGGCTGGCAAAGGGGCCTCGTTTGTGGGCCCCCTTGTGCGTTTCCTGCTGTGTCCGGAGGGCTGCAGCTCCTGACGCTCTGCCGGTCAGTCCTTGACCTCTGGCCCCCCTCTCCGCTTCTGAGGCCTGGTGAGGGGCAGCCGGCTCAGGAGGCTCTGAGACCCCGCAGCCCCTTTGCTTCCTGTGTCAGAGCGGAGACCCCACTGGGGAACAGGATCCGTAGAAATCACGGAGGGGGGGGCTTTCCTGGGGAATCCCTCCGGCCATTGGCCACTGTCGCTCTGGGGCTCCCATGGCTGATTTCTTCCCTCGGCAGGCGGTGAAGCGGAGCAGGCCGTCTCCTCGCCGTGTGTCCCGCAGGGGAACCCGCAGAGCTCCGAGGCGCCCAGCTCCTCGGGCTCCGTCCCTGATGGCACCGGTCGCCTGGCGGAAGTGGCGGTGAGCCAGTCGGATTCGGAGAACAGGGACCCCTCCTCGCACGGCCAGCCCGAAGCGCTTCCCCGCCAACGAGGCCGGCCCCCCCATCGCTTCCTGGGCAAGAAATACCGCAAGTACATGGGGCGAAGGTGAGAGGTGGAACGGTGGGGCTTCGGAGGGAGGCCTCTGGCCGGGGCCCCCAGGTGACAACCCCTCCCCCTGCGCCTCCCCACAGGTACTGCTACAAGTCCGCCAAGCCCTTGATGCGGCCGTACCTGTGCCGGATCTGTGGCTCCCGCTTCCTGACCCACGAGGACCTGCGCTTCCACGTGAGCTCCCACGAGGCCGGGGACCCCCAGCTCTTCCGCTGCCTGCAGTGCAGCTACCGGTCCCGGCGCTGGTCCTCTCTGAAGGTGAGCCCCCCCCCCCTCCTTTGGCCCCCTCCCAGCAGGGAAGCAGCCATTGCCAGGAGCCTCCAGCCCCTCCCTCCCTGCTCCCCCCCTGCAGGAACACATGTTCAACCACGCGGGGAGGAAGCCCTACAAGTGCGAGGAGTGCGATTACACCAGCGTGTACAAGAAGGACGTCATCCGCCACTCTGCGGTTCACAACCGAGACAAGTGAGCGCGGGGCAGGGCAGGGTGGGGGAGCTCCCCGGACCCCCTTGTGACCTTCTGTGGCCTCTGAAACCCTGCGGGGGTCTTCATTCCGTCCTCTGCTTTCCTTACGAAGCCCCTTCCCCTCCTTTGCTCTGTTTCAGGAAGAAGAGAACCGACCCGGTAAGCAAGGAGGGTCTCCTGAGGGCGGCATCCCCCCCCCCCCCCACCTATCCCTGCCTCCAGAGCGCTTCCCTGATTGGGGGCGGGGGGGCTGCAACAGCTTGGCTCTATTTGGGAACCCCCCTTGTTTCTGGACTGCTTGGTCCGGGCTGGAGGAGCAGCAGAGGGTCTCCTGCAGAGCCCCTCCCTCCCTCCTCCAAGGGCTGACCCACCAGAGTCTTCCCCCCCCCCCTCCAGGCTCCCAAGCGCAGCGCCTTCCCCTGCCCGGTCTGTGGCCGAGTCTACCCCATGCAGAAGCGGCTCACCCAGCACATGAAGACGCACAGCTCCGAAAAGCCCCACATGTGCGACAAGGTGGGTGGGGGCCTGCCAGGATGGGGGGGGAGGGGGGCTTAAAGCCTCTCCTCCCCCTCCCCCCCCGGCTGACCCCTCGGCTCTCTCGCAGTGCGGGAAGTCCTTCAAGAAGCGTTACACTTTCAAGATGCACCTGCTGACCCACATCCAGGCGGTGGCCAACCACAGGTGAGCGGGGGCCTGCGGGGGTCGTCCGGCTGGGCTCTGCCGGCAGCGTCTCCTGGGGACAGCCGCTCACGGGGGCTCTCCTGCGGGCAGGTTCAAGTGCGAGTTCTGCGACCACGTCTGCGAGGACAAGAAGCTGCTGCTCAACCACCAGCTGCTGCACATCAACGACCGGCCCTTCCGCTGCGGCCTCTGCCCCTACGCCACCGTCCGCGAGGACTTCCTGCTCTCCCACACGGCCGTCAAGCACACAGGTGGGCTCGGCTGGAGGCTTCGGGCAGGGCTGCCCACCTGAGGCTCCGCTGCGGCTTTAGTTGCGCCCATGATAACAACCATGGTAAATTGACGCGCTGCCCGACTGCCATCCTCCGGGCCCTTCAGAGCCGCCGAAAGGGCAGAGAGGAATGCCACAAGCAGAAGCCGGCCGGGGCGGAGGGGGCATCAGTCATTGCCCAGGTCATTGCCCAGGCGAAGGGGCTTCAGGGAGCCCTTGGCGTTCCCAGGGGGCAGGCCCTGCTGCAGCACCCTGGACCCTCAGCCACAGGGAGGCCAGCCGTCTTCGGCCCTCATCAGAGGGCCCCTTGGCTGCCCCAGTGCCACCCGTGTGCCAGTCGGAGCAGGCACAGCCACGTCTTGGGGTTTTGGCTCCTCCTCGTGCGGAGGGAGCGATGGGGGGGGGGGGGGGGGGGGGGGGTTGGAGCTGGGCGTGGCGGAGCAGCCCCTCTGCTGCCCGGGGGCGAAGGGGGAAGGACGGGCGCTGAGCCTCCGGTGGCCCCTGCAGGCGGGAAGCCCTTTGGCTGCGACCTCTGCCACTTCTCCACCAAGCACAAGAAGAACCTGCGCCTCCACGTCCAGTGCCGCCACCCGGAGAAGTTTGCGGAGTGGGTGCAGCTCCATCCGGAGGAGGCGCCCTGCCGCCGGCGCCCCTTCTTCACCCTTCAGCAGATCGAGGAGCTGAAGCAGCAGCACTGCCAGGGCCAGGCGGCCCCCGAGGGCCCCCCGCCCAGCCCCCCCGTGAGTGGCCCCAGCCCCCCCCACACCCCCACCCTTGGGGAGGGGCCCTTGTGCCGCTGGGGCTGCTGTGGTGACCGGCTGTCTGGATCTTCCCCGCAGGTGCCAGGACCCCCGGACCCTCCCCAGGAGCCCCTGCAGGGCGCCATCCTCCTCTTCGAGCCAGGTACCTGCTGGGGGGGGGAGGGGATTGCCGGGGGGGGAGGGTAGCGAGGCAGAGGCCTTTTTAGGTGGGCAGAGCCTGAGAGGGGCTTCTGACTCCCCTGGGACAGGACTGGGCTAGCAATCCCTGCCCAGCTCCCCCCACGTAGCCCCTCCCTCTCTGGGTGGGAGACCTCCGAGCGGTTCAGTCGTGGGAACCGGGCCAAAGTTTTCTTACTCATCCAAGTAATGTTTTCAGTCGAAAAAGGGACGTTTGGGGGAGTCCGATATTCGGGGAGTTGCTGAAATGAACCAATTCTTGCCATGCAAACTGCCCGGGGGAGGGGGGGAAGGGGGAGCGTCCTCCCATTATCGGGGTCTGGGCACAAGGCTGGCAGGAGGGAAAACAGCCTGAGGCCAAAGAGACCCCCCCCTTCCCTCTTTCTGGGGAGGCCTGGAGGGGAATGTGAGTGCGTGGATCCTGTGTGCTGAGAGATCCCTCCGTTTTAGCCTTTCTCGGGGGAGGGGGGGGGAGTGCAAGGTTTAACTTTGATCTCTTCCCCCCCCCCCTTTCCCAGAGGTGGGGGACTCGGCAGAGGTGACCACGCAAACCGCCCTGGACCTCCTGCTGAACATGAGTGGCCAGAGGGAGCTGCCTTCCAGTGCCCTGGAGGTGAGGCTGGGGGTTGGCGGGGGGGGGGGAGGCAGAATGTGGGGAGGGGACAATCTGACCTGGCTCTGCTCCCCCCCACCCGCAGGTGGCTGTGGTGAAGGCGCCCTTGGAGTCCCAGGGCCAGGGGGAGGAGGAGGAGCAGGGGGAGCTGCAGAGCGGCCTGCTGACCCCCCAGGGGACGGAGCAACGGGGGGCCCTCCTCCAGCCCTCCACGGGCCCCTCCGAGGTCCAGCACATCACCGTCCCCTTCTGCAGCGCCTCCGAGTACAGCGTGGTCTCCGCCAATGGGGAGGTTGCCAGCACGCTCTACGGGTGAGGACTCCCCTGGGGAGGGGCATGGGGGGGATGAGAGACAGGGGGGTCCCTTCAGCCCCTCGGCTGAGGCTTCAGCTCCTCCTCTCTTGGGCCCATTTCCCTCTCTCCCTCCCTCCCTCCCACAGCAGCAAGGACGAGGCCCCTGGCGAAGCTGCGCAGGCCCTGATCCAGGACTCCCTGAAGGAGGACGCCACAGTGCCCAAGGGGCACCAGCAGCACCCACCGCCTCCAGGGGAGGTGAGCCAGGGACCCCCGGGAGGCTCCGAGGGGAGGGGGGAGCCTGGAGCCGCCCAGCGTTTGCTGTTGGGGGCAGTTGGGGGTCAGCTGCTGACCCCCTGGGCTTCTCTGCCGATTCTCCCCGCAGCCGCTCAGCGGGGAGCCCCTGCCGGCCGTCCCGTGGCCAGTCGTGCGCTGCCTGACCTGGCAGGCCCAGGAGCAGCTGGAGCCGGAGGCCGGCGATCTCCCCCTGGTCCCCTCAGAGCAGGCCGTGGCCAGGGCCCCCCCGGGCAAGAAGCCCCCCCCGGCCAAGAAGTTCTCCTGCAAGATCTGCAGCGCCACCTTTGCGGGCCGGGCGGAGATGGAGAGCCACAAGAGGGCCCACGCCAGGCCCAGCGGCTTCAAGTGCCCCGATTGCCCCTTCACGGCGGCTGCCTGGCCAGAAGTCCGGGTAGGTGCTTTGGGGGGGTGGAGGAGGAGGTGGCTCTGGGGGCTGCAGGGCTTCCTCCGGGAAGGGGCCCCTCACACACACACCCCCTCTGGCCCCAGAACCACCTGCAGCAGCACGCCAACCTCCGTCCCCACAAGTGCCAGCACTGCAGCTTCGCCTCCAAGAACAAGAAGGACCTGCGCAGACACACCCTGACCCACACCAACGAGAAGCCCTTCGCCTGCCACATCTGCGGCCAGAGGTGAGCCGGGGGGGGGCGTCCTTGGGGGGGGCTGGGGGGAGTCCGGTCTTGGCAGCTGAGTGACGGCAGCCCTCTCCCCCTGCCTGCAGGTTCAACCGCAAAGGACACCTGAAGTTCCACACGCAGCGGCTGCACAGCTCGGAGGGGGGGGCGGCCTCCGAGCCCCTCCCCCCCGCCTCCCAGACCATCATCCTGAAGAGCCCCGAGGAGACCCTGGCCACGCTGCAGAGTAAGCGGGTGGGAGAGAGGGGGCTTCCCCCAAACCCCTCCTGCTTCCCTCCTCCTGGCATTCAGCCCCGGGGGCTGCGGGGGGCTTGGCCATTGGCTGTCCTTGGGGGGGGGGCAGCCGCCATCCTGACCTCCTCCCCCCTCCCACAGCGGCTCTGCAGTCCGGCCCAGAGAGGCTCCAGCAGGCCCTGGAGCAGGAACACATGATCGTCACCCAGCAGGAGGGGGACCCCAACGAGGTAAGAAGGCTCGGGGGGGGGGGGGGGGCTCAGCTGAGTCTACCCGGGGACAGTTCAGGGGGATCCGGGTGAGATCCTATGGCCAGAAAAATGGGGAGGGGGCTCCAGCTGGGTTGGCGGGAGGCGTTTGCTGTGTTGGCCCAACCAGAATCCTGAGGGGGGAGGGTCTTTGTGCAGATGGAGAGAAAGGCCCTTGGGGGGGGGGGTCACTTTTGCTGCTCTTTGCGCTGCTGCCTCCTGTCGGCATGTGGGGGAAAATAGGCAGTCGTCAGTCGTCCCCCACCCCACCCCAGTTTTCCTCTTGCCCCCCCGGCCTGGCCTGGCCCCTCCCTGCCGTGGGGCAGCTGGGCCGGGTGCGAAGTCTGGGCCTTGCTCCCTTGCAGGAGGAGGCCACCTACATCCAGGAGATCCTGGCCACGGCGGACGGGCAGATGGTGCAGCACCTGGTGACCACTGAGAACCAGGTCAGCCCACCTGTGGCCACCCCGGGGGGGGGGGGAGTTTGGGACTCTGGTCACCCCCCCCCCCAAATAATCCCTCCCCTGGGTTCCCCCCCCCCCCAAAGGTCCAGTACATCATCACCCAGGAGGGAGTCCAGCAGCTGCTGCCCCAGGAGTTCGTGGTGCTGCCTGAGGGCCACCACATCCAGGTGAGCCCCCCCTCCCTCCCTCCCTCCCACAAACATGGGGGTCCCTCCCCCCCCCCGATGTCTGACGGTCCCGGCTGCTGTTTCAGGTGCAGGACGGCCAAATCACCCACATCCAGTACGAGCCAGGGGGGCCGTTCGTGCAGGAGCCCCAGGTAGGAGGGGCAGCCATGGGGCGGGGAGGCTGGGGCCAGGCGGAGCTGGTGGGGGGGAGTCTGACGGATGCCTTCTCCCCACACAGATCCAGTACGTCCCCGTCTCCCCTGGGCAGCAGCAGCAGCTCCTCACCCAGGCCCAGCTGGAGGCTGCGGCCCACACGGCAGTGGCCGTCATTGGGGCCCCCGGGAGCAGCAAGGAGGCCCCCACAGAGCAGGAGCTCCTGCCCGTCCCCTTGGGCCGACCGGCAGCCGGCCTGGGCAAAGTGAAAAGCCCCAACTGCCTCTTCTGCACAGGTGCCTCAGCCGCCCAGGCCTTCCGGGGGCCTTTGAGTGGGGGGCTGAATCCTCTGGGCCTGCCCTAGATCCGCCCCCCCAACCTCCTCAGAAGGCTCCCTGTCCTTTCGCCTGGGGGGACCAGAGGCTGCCCTCTCCCTTCCCCCTCCCAGCGGCCAACGGTGGTGTTGGAGGGGCAGGATAGGGACAGCCCCTTCCCCTCCCACCTCCTCCTCACCCGTCCCCCCCCCCCTCTCTGAGTCCCCTTCGGGGGGGGGAAAAGGGCAGCATATAAATTTAATAAACTGAAACTGAACTGAACTCTCCCTCTGCAACAGTGGCCGATGTGGCCGTGGCTCCCTTCGGCACGGAGTCTGGGCCGGAGCAGCTTCAGCCGGGCGTCCACTACGACATCATCACCGTGGCAGAGTGACCGGCCTCCTCCTTGGACCAGCCTTCCGTCCGGAAGGTGCCTCCCGCAACCGCCCAGCTTCAGCCGCTGCTCCTACTCGGCCGCCCCGCAGGTCACCTGGCAGGCCAGGTTGGGGGGGGGCTCTTCGCAGGGATGCCCAGCCGAAGACCCCCATCTGCAGCCCCTCCCCCCTCGCGAGGACTCCCTGGGGGAGGCACTGCTGAATAAAAAGGGCCACTCGGTCTGGACTTGTGCGTGCGGCTCTTGTGGGAGGGATGGGGAGAGCGGGGGCCCTTCCTACCCACCATGCCATCCCCCCCTCCCTTTCCTGGCAGCCCAGATGTTGGCTGCTCCTTTGGCAGAGTTGGTGTCGGATTAGAACTGCTAATCCGGGAGTTTAACGCAGAG